CTTCCCCTTGTAGGGTTAGAGGAGGTCAGAACATGTGGTCTCCTTGTCGTTTTTGCACTGAGATATGCAGATGACACAACCTTGCCTGCTGAAAGTGAGTATGACTTGAAGCACTTACTGAGGAAGATTAAAGACTACAGTCTGCAGTATGGGTTACATTTCAACATAAAGAAAACAAAAATCCTCACAACTGGATCGATAAGCAGCATCACGATAAATGGAGAGGACTGAAGTTGTCAAGGATTCCATTTTACTTGGATCCACAGTCAACACCCATGGAAGCAGCACCTGTGCTGCATTAATTTCTCAGTTCCTACTCTGGTGCAAACAGTGTGTACTTGTCTTCTGACCTAAAGGGTGGTAGTCTGAACCACCCAGCAGTGACACGCAAGAAAGACCTGGCAATCTGTTTCCATCCCAGCAGCCCCAGAGCTGAGTCCAACTTGCACAGTCAAGAAAACTCTATGGAGCAGTTCTACTCTGTCACACATAGGGCATCATGAGTCAGAATCCATTTGACAGCAACCGATATGGGAATTCTGTACAGGACAGAGTGGGAGAACCAGGTCTCTTGACCTCAGACGCTGGTCTGCCAGTCTCCATGCTGGGAATCAGAGAGGTTTAGAGGCTAGAGGTCCAAACAAGTTGCAGAGGCCTGGGCTTGGATAAGGCCATGCTCAGGGCTGAAAGTAAGGATAGGGGTGGCTGCAAGTTAGACTCAGCTCTGGGGCTGCTGGGATGGAAGAATGAGCCAACATCTTGGGCAGACTTGGCCCAGTGCCCAGGAGATGGATTTCAATGCATCTTCACAACTAGCCTATGATATAAATCTTATAAGTGCCCCCATTTGATAAATGAGGAGACCAAGGCCCAGAGAAGAACAGCTACTTGCCCAAGGTCACACAGCTAGGATAGGACAGTCCAGTGAGTGAATCTGGGGCTCATAAGACCTGGGTTATTGAATTCTGGCTCTGCTACCAATGCTGTGTGTCCTGACACATGTCACTTAGCTTTTCTGGGCCTCATTCTCTTTTTTTGTCAAATAACCTGATGGAGTCAGTAGACTGTGAAACTCACCCATTTGACTAGGTCTTGGGTGACACTGGAGCTCCACAACTTTTCCACACTTGGGAAGTTGGGGGAAGAGGACCCAGAAGGCCTCAACTCCCCACCTGTGATTTCAGACAAATGGCCTCACCCTCTGAGCCTCAGTTTCCTCATCTGTAAAATGGGGGGGGGGGCATAACGCTACCCATAAGGAGCTCTGGTGGTACAGTGCCAAAGGTATCTGACTGCTAACCAGAAGGTTAGTGGTACAAACTCATCAGCTACTCAACAAAAGGAAGATGAGGCAATCTACTTCTGTAAAGATTTACTGCCTCAGAAACCCAATGAGGGTCACTATGAGTGAGAATCTACTTGATGGCAGGTTTTTTTTTTTAATGCTACCCAACTCATAAATCAGTAAACATGAAGTCAGTAAACATTACTCTTATTACAATGACATCATCAGCTTAAGGAGCTGTCTGGAAGGCTTGATGAGAAGACACAGTCAGTGCCTGGCACATAGTAAGTGCTCAATAAATGCCTTGTTTGCTGTCAAGGTGATTTCTGATGACCCCATGTGTTACAGAGTACAACTATCCCATAGGTTTTTTAGGCTGTAATCTTAGCAGATTTCCAGGACTTTCCCCATGAAGCCACTGGATGGGTCTGAACCACTAAACTTTTTTTTTTT